TCCATGCCATTTTACTAAATCACTTTTTAAAAAAAAATAAATAATAAGTAGCTTTTTAATAGATTTTTAAAGCAATTATAATTTTGGCATATATTTATTGAGCTAAGTATGGTGACAGTGTAAGTCCAGTGTTTGTTAGCAACATTAGCCTAGCATCTCCCGTTGTAAACTAAGAAGCACACATCAGATATCAAACGTGTTAGCCGATCGACTGCATCTGGGGTAAGTGATAAACCTTTTTGATTTGATTTTTCGCCAAACTACTCCTTTAATAACATGCATACTTCTGAATGAGAGCAGAATAAATATGAAAGTATTTCTAAGCCAGCAGTATGCATTCATATAGTTCTGTATTGGTTTACTTGTCCAAGAAAACAATGAAACTGAGCCAATGCCAAAGGTAAAATAAATATTAAACTATTCATCCATCCATCCATCCATCATCTAAACCGCTTATCCTTCTGGGTCACGGTGGGGTGCTGGAGCCTATCCCAGCTGTCATTGGGCGGAAGGCAGGATACATCCTGGACAGGTCGCCAGTCCATCGCAGGGAACTATTCAAATTACTTTAAATCTAAGAATAATAGCGTGAGACATTGCTTGTGCCACCTGAAGCACGTGGGCGTGTTTAGACAGTGTAAAGAACAGATTCAGTGGTTGACAGAGTTTTCTGTGAAGGAAGGGGAAGCTTAAAGACTAGCACCTAAAATTCGAACAGGGCTGTTATATGTTATAGCAACACAGTGTTATATAAAACCCAGTGATAATTATACCACTTCAACATTTAAATTTCTAATATCCATGTAACTCTTACATTCAAAAGATGGAAGTACACAGCCTACTGTCTCCATGGAAAGCACACACCCTGACAACATGAGTTCACAGTTGGTGATGATAACTTCATACTTATTTAAATTATGATTTTGTGGTGTTCTCACAATAGGCTTTTTAAATATTTTCAGTATACTTTAAAAAATAGCAGTACCACAATACTACAGCACGATTCATTCGTTTATGATTCAGTTTAAAAGCGACAAATCGATTCGATATGATCTCATACACTAAACAGAAATTCATTTTGGTAATTTCTAATGATACTGTGGCATCTTCTCTGTTGCTCATGGTGTGAGGAGGACACTGTTTAAAAGCTGAGCTGCTGCAGCCCTCGGGTCAGCTGTTGTGTTTTGCAAGCTCAAGCTCAATATAGTCTGTATGCATGTATTTTTCCAAATAAAGAGCTTTGTTTGGGTTTGTTTGGTGAAATATCACTTCATTCCCTCCATCATCCGTATTCATGATTAGTGTGTGAATGCTGCCAGAGCCACCAGCACTGTAAGCCACTGAAGTCAGAGGAAAATGACTTATTACACAGTGGAAGGTTATATGTGAAACATTTGTTTAAACATGTTTATTTTTCTAATCAGTCATGACTAATTTGATGTTAAGCATCTAAAGTCAATTGCTGACCAATGCAAACAATTCAGATTTACTCTTTTGTGCCATTCATGCATCAAAAGGAATTATAAACGACGCATCAAGAAAGAATGAATCGTTCATTCATGAATCGAACATTTTGTGCATTACATTACAGTGACATTACAGAAAACACTCATTTCATAAATCTCTAATCTAAAGCAGCCCTGTATTATGACAGATTACTAGGACTAATCTCAGGTGGATAGATCTTCAGCAACATAGCTATGGCCCCTGGATCTAGATGTTGGCCTGTGTAAATATGAACTCTCTCAAACATCTACAAACCAACTCACCAATGTTCTAAAAGCAATAAAGCTAAAAAACCTGATATCCACTTAAAAATCAAACAGCTGAGATTGATTTGGCCTTAGAGAGAACGCAGCCTGTCAGCGATGAATGACTGGATTTTGCAGACTTGACACTAAGGCTTGTGAGTCATGACTACTCTGGCAAGACAAAGCTACACATCTTCCATCTCCTAATGAACTATAAGTTACATGCAGCAATCTAAAACGTGTGGTACAGTGTCTATAAATTCAAGCCTGCAAAGGGAAATATTTCAGCCAGCGTCACATCAATCACGTGCAAGAGAAGCTTCTAGACTCATCCATCACCACATTCGTCTCTCGAAGAGCTCCATTTCATCCAGTTTAATTAACTCTCATCTTAATGGAAAGATTCATATCTCTGGACCCATAATGCAGATTCTGAAAAGAATGTAGCCTCTGCTGGTCATGAAAGGTACAGTTCGAGTAGCATGTAACTTTTAAAAAATAAATAAATAAACTAAAAAAATGGTAAGGAGGGTTTATTACTCAGATTAAAAAAGGACTGTGTGCATCATCCTGAATTAAACGAGGTAAGTGAAATAACATGGCCAAACTTCCATCATGTGGACTTTTCACATGAGCATGTAAAAAGCTTTCAATTAAAAAAAATGGAAATTATTATTCTTTCCCCCACAATTAGGCCTAACCAGGCTTATCTACCAACAAAGTGCAGTAAGAAATGCTAAATGTGGAATCAACAAAACAGTGTTGGGAAAAAACACTGAAACAGCAGATGAATATGTTATTTGAAGTAATTAGCACATCACAGTAATCTAATCACGATACAGGACATTACAATGGTAAATGGTGATTTCTTTTCAACCCAAAATGAGTTTTGGAGAGAGCAGTTTAATGCAAGCTTGCAAGTTCCTCCTCAGCGAGCCCCACTAATGTAAAAAGGAAGTGCGAAGAATTGTTGTGTACTTAAGGGGAAATTACAGCCCATATTCAGCACAATCAAAAGAATTGTTGCCTACTTAAGGGAAAATTACAGTCTCTATTCAGTACAATCAGAAAAAGCCACACCACTTCCAGCCTATTTCAGAGTCAGATGCTGCTACTGTACAGGAGCCTGGTCCCTCTATCCCTGCGATTAGCCATAAGAGGAAAGCGCCAACTCGCCTGTTGTTCTTTTCCTCCAAGAAATCAGTGGTTCCAAATGAGGTTTTCCACTTTGTTAAGTACTCAATGAATTCAACATGAGCATTCTAACTGGACTGGTCCCTTCTGCAATTTGCTCAGTGTCAGAAAACACAGTACCACTTGTTACAACCACGTCCATAAATGTCTGGGTGCACCTGCGTCGCAAACCATCCATCATCTCACGGGTCATTAGATGACTCGTGCAATTACCAGGATGTGAAGTCTCGGACAATTCAGTATGAAAATAAGCAGGTGCAGTACTATTTCTGTTGATTTCTGGCTCTGCTTTCTAATCCATTCCCACAGCAAAATGGAAAGAATTTCTAAATAACAGTTTCAAAGATGAGCACCCAAACCACAGGTCGATACTTGTCAATGAATGCATGGCAGTCATAATGCGCATATCATTAAAAACCACACATCGTGATTTCATGTGTTCTACATATCAGGTGAATTCCAGCTAAATCCAGATCCCACAGAATGTAAAAGCACGTTCGTGATCACTTTCAATGTAAGACTTTGTTTTAATGAGAAATCAATGAGAAAACAACAACTTAGATGTTACAGAGAAAAGTGAGAGGCGCATTCAGGAAAAAGGCACAGGCAGATAAATGGTCAGTGTAATAAGTGCTGTTATATGTTACTTTCCAACACTTCCAACACCAAAATTCCTGCACAATTTAGTTACTGACATGTAAAAAAGTCATTAAGACTTTTTTGATGTGGAATGGTGCACTATAGAGAAACTTGCCAATTCAAACTTCTTCAAGGGGTGGTGGTGGGGACCAGGAGTTGCAATATCTTCATTGCCATATTGTTCACTATTCAAAGTGACCACAGAACCTACATGTCTTGTTTTTATGTAATGCTAATAAAGGTAAAAATAGTGGTAAATCTGAAAACTATGGAGACCAGCTGGTGACATCCCGTATAAATAAAAATAATGCATGGCCATGACTTGGTAAAGCGTGGGAACGAGATAAGTAAGCCTTGATCAGAGCTAAATAAGGCATGATCACGTCCCCACGCCTTACTAAGTCAAGGCCATGCATTATTTTTATTTGTACGGGATGTCACCAGCAGGGCTATTTTGCCTTATAACACCCTACATATACCTCTCTGCTATGAATGGATTTTAAAATATGTTTCTAGACCTTAACTTCATTATAAATCTATCATGAAACAATGTCTCAGGCATCAGGCAGCACCTTTGTCATTATTTCATGTAATAACTTTCTGTGAGGGAGCCTTTAGAGGCGTTAAACACTTGACACACAACAGATGTCCAGTTCCTATCACCACCACTGGAACAATTCTGACTAAGTAAGTTTCTCTAGAATAGGGCATTTTACATCAAACCACACTGAATGACTTTGTTTACATCTTAACCACTTAGTTATACACACATTTAGAAAAATCACTGGATTTCTCTTTTAAGGATATGAGCTGTTCGTGATCATCACTGTAAGACCACGCATGCCTGAGCTATTACACAATGCCCACTACATGAGGATAAAAGCATGGCTCCGTAGCTATGCATACATGAGCCACGGACACAACCAAAGAGCCAAGCAGCTGGGCAGAGATAACCCTAGCATGCCAACCTCATCCTTCGACCCAACGTTAACTGACTCTCTCTCTGCCTTCTTGATCATTTAATCAGTGCAAGCGGCTAAAGCAGCAAGCCAAACCGTCGGCAGTGTACACTAGCTGGTTAACAGATCACACGAATCTCGTGTTCCTTATCAAAGCTGGTTAGCGTTAGATGACGAATAGCAGCTGAAACGATGATATTTTGCAATCTCCCAGCAAAAGAAGAAGGCTTAGACAGCTAGCTGGGTAAAAGATGAGAGCTGGGCTAAGCTGAGCTGAGCAGTGCGGGCTCTACGTTCTCAGTGTGCAGCAGCAGCAGCAACAATACACTGAACTAGTGCACATACACCCTTAGTTTGTCCGTACAGGTCGCAGCTGCTGGAAAAAAGTCTCTATTATTTTCATTCATGTGCCCAAATCAACGTGCATGCAGAAGGAAGGAAAGATCCCAAATCTCACCCAGCTTTTCCCGAGACTCCTCCAGTTTCCGAATCTGGTTCTCGATGAATAGCACGGCCACTCCGAAAGCAAGCACAGCCAGGAGCTGAAACTTGGGCGGCATCATGATCCGTAGGAGCCCCATGAAAATGACCGGACGGTTTATGTGCATGTCATGCCGAGTACCAGTCAATCAGTCAGTCAGTCAGTCACGGGGAGCAAATGCGAAATGAATGAGTGAGTGTGTGTGCTGGTTAGTTTTGGCAGTGGCTTGGTTTGTACAAGAGGAAACAGATATCAAAAAGCAAACTACAGGTCTGCATTGCCCTTCAGCTGCTTATCTTCCATCTGTGTTCATTTTAGCTGGAGCATTCAAGTCTCGTGCTTTATGCTTCTCTGTGCTGCTGATATTGACCCAGTACAGGCGTTATTATTTTCTTTTCCCACCTGTATTCCAACAAACTCCGCCTACCAAGCGTTATGATTGGCTGTTGAGCGACTAGTGGGCGGAGTAAGAACCACTAGCCAATCACAGCACAATACACGGGCTGATACTGGCCAATCAGAGTGCAGGAAGGTATGAAAAAAGGTGGGGGAAAAACATCCCCGCCTACTATCCTCGTGCGTCACGCAGGACCCGTTTTATTGGGTTTGTGATGCATTAGGTGGAGAGCGTAGTGCCATCTATCGTAGTGGAGTGCAAGATATAACGCTACTGAAACCTGTTTACATTCACTTATTCCATGTAGCCCATGGTACTTTTGTGAGTGTGATAATATTATTGTTGCTCACACCTCTCACTTCAGTATTTTATTTTAGACCAAATGGATCCAGAAACAGAAGAACAGAACCTAAGAAACGCAAGCTCCAAGATTAGGGTTGCCACCTATCCCGTTTTTCCTGGGATTGTCCTTCTTTTTAATAGTCAGTGCCGGAAAATGTATTCTCTCTCCCGGGACACTTAATGTCCCGGTTTTCAATAGGCTACATCATTTTTTACCATTTCTGTTGCATCCCGTTTCTTCCGTTGCTTCCCACGTTTAGTTGATAGTAGCGAGTACTTTTTTCATCAGACAGAACGTGACATCACTTGGCCTCCCAAGGGGCCTTGGGGAGTGAGATCGGGCACCACTAGAAGGGCAGTGAACCAATCGCTAATTGTGCTGAATCTACTTCCAAATGGTAACGGTGTTCTGGAGCAAGGGTGTCCAGACTTATTCACAAAGGGCCGGTGTGGGTGCAGGTTTTCGTTCCAGACAAGAAGAGCACACCTGATTCCACTCGTTTAATCAGTCAGTCTCAGTCTTTTAACAACTTATCAGTTGAGCTCCTGCTTTGTTGCAATGAAAACCAGCAGCCACACCGGCACTTTGCGGATACGATTGGACACCCCTCTAGAGGAACAACCGTTGAGATGGGTGGCGAGACGGAGGACGAAGATGAGATTGGGTCTACTGGGTCTGAGAGGCCAGTCAAAAAGAAAATGAAACGTTCAACCCATTTCAATAATGACTGGATGAAAAAATAAAACTACACTGCATGGCTAAATCCAACCCCGGGCGATCCACTTTCTGCTGCCTGCTCCTTACGCCAAGTTTTACATCATTAAAGTAACAACACCTTTACTTGAGGATGGTATTGGGCTTTCATGCCTGCCTCTTTCTGCCCACCACAATCTACATCACCAGCCATGAAACTGACCAGCTTAAATTCCACTGCTTGGACCTGTGGACTTCCAGTCCATGCCACTGAAATGACCAAACACAGTGCAGAATGAGCAGACTGGGCTGTTTGTGGCTCTGAACAATTGTTACTGATGTTCCAAATTACCAGCTTGATGTTATTGGAGCTGTAGGAAACATGCTTGACATTTAAGGTGCAAGGAAATTCTCCCTTTCTGACATCTGACAAGCCAAACGTATTATCAGGTCATAGCAGATCTGAGACGGGTGCATGCCGTAACTCTTAAATGTCAGTTGTCATATGTGATAGGAAAATATTAGACAAAAATTGCAATACGTTTTGATGTCATACATTCAGTGCATTTACAAATATGTGGCCAAAGCAAATTCAGAGTCACATGAATATAAAATAAATTACATACAAAATAAAAGTACCATTCTGTCTATACCCAGTTAACCCTGACTTAAAGGCAACACTTGGTATTTGGACATTGTTTACACACACAAATACTGTTCAAACAAATTTAAAAAGACTATAAATGTCACAATTATTACATAATCATCTGATCACAATTATTTGAGCTTATCGCAGTTATTATCCACTCCTGTTAGCTATCATAGTGTTTATGCCGCAGCAAACAGAATGTGAGCTGTGTGTACATTTTCCTCTGTTGGGTTGAAGCAAATACATGTAAATAACAGAATATGCTGAATATGCATTTATTGAGACAAAACATGGGTCTTCCAAAAACAACAACAAAGTTCTGACTTCTGACTGGTGCTAGCAAATTTAGAGAGCAGTGGTGAGCAATGTTTGTTTAGTTGAGGTTGTGCTCTGTCTGTCAGTTAGGAGCTACTGAGTATCGACAAAGCTAGTTTAAGACAGTTTCTTCCGTTATATAAAAACATGACTGTAAATGCTAGGTTACCCACAACCGAGTTCTCAGTGAGCGGCAGTGACCAGAGCTTAACGGCTGAAACAAAAAGGTTTTGTGCAGTGTGATGCCAACATTACTGCTACTGAGTGCTGACTGGTTGGTGAGCTGATCAGCTCAGAGAGTTGCCAAAAACGTTCAAAAACCACCAAAATGCATGACAAACCACCCAAAAAATACACAGCAAAAACAGTATGAGGTCATTTTAACAGGAATATAAAATAATACAGCATTTAACCAACATGACATCAGTAATAAGCTTCTTACATTAAATTAGACATATTCAGATTTCAGCTGCAGTCTACCTGCCTAGCCAAAATCCACCCAATTGGAGGTTGGGGGGAACCTGCCCAATCTGGCAATACTGTCAGCTCACTGGATGAGTCATCATGAACATTCATGAGGCACTGTTAGAAAGCCCTATACATATTCTTGTGTATAAAAATGATTTACAGCATTTACAAACTATGATTTTTCACATACACTCTATAGTAACCTATTCGTTTTGGACTCGTTCAGGAGCGCCCTCTTTCGTCTGACAAACCTGGAAGCCAGTTCTCCTCACTAGACATTCTTTGGTATCAACAGCTAGGAAGCAAGACAGCTGATCAGACAATTCAGCCACCTTAGGCTTAAGTACCTGCATATGAGGACAAAAAACATTTATATGGCAATGATTTGCTAGCTAAAACGTCATGATCCTGACAGCCCTAAATAATACATTTGATGAGATATAAATTACTACTATGACACAAACCCCTTAACCGTCACATACAACATCATAAACAGGGCTGTCTTCTAAATGAAGCTAAAGTATAAAGACAAAATATGAATTTCGAAATCCTTCTGTCAAATAAATGCCATCCTATCTTCTGAAAGCACTTCGTATGAAAGAAAGTCATTCCCTGTGGTTTGTCCCTGGTGTGCAGTGTCCCTTGACTCCCTTAAGAGGTGCTAACACACGGTGCATTGAGGGATGAGAGAGATAAGACTCCAACTGTGCATGAAATTGCACCAGATCAAATCAGCTGCATTTTGCTGCTGCTTAAAATAGCCCCGTTCACCTTCTATCACCAGCCAGGTGCACAATAGCAGCAGCATGGACAAGTGGGCCTCACCTGCACCCCCCCTCATACTAATGCAAAACCACATGCCAATGCATCCCAACAAGCAGGACCATATTTGTATAGTTTTACTGTGTGTATTTTTGGTTCATGGGGATAATCAGCATGAAAAAAAGGTTCAAAATAGATATGCCTAGCAAACATTTGGCAATTATACAGACAGATTATATTAAACATGTATAATTATAGAGGAATCATGGCAGCTATTCTTTTAACTCTATTCATCATGAGGGGTCAGTTTTATACCACATTTCAGACCATCTGTTGTAAAATAGACTGCTGAATAGACTGATGTGGACTTTACATTCTTTGTCCTGAGTTGTTTGAGTGCATTCAGTATCATCTAAGCACTCACATCCTTTGTGATTAAGGTCATTTGAGCAGACAACAAAGAGGGCCATTATGATGTATTTATTCCCAAAGACTTCCCCACAAGCATTCACTGTTTATTGACTGTTTGAAAGGGTCTGCGTCTTTGAACAGCATGCATGCAACTTTACTCCAAATACATTTTTATTATTAGGAATATTTATTTATATAGCATTTTTCTTTTCAGTTACAAAACGTCAAGGGGAGAAAAGTGAAACTTTGGAAAGATAAAGTATTACAGTTCACATGAAAGGCAGCACAAGAACAAATATCATTTCTTGTTTATTATTGTGATGTCAGACCTTGCTATACAGAAGGCTACAATATTCAAATAAGTCCTCTAACTAATCACAAGGGGGGAGCTATTCATTTGCCTCATGTGATGTCACTGTATGACCACACTGTCATTTTAATGACCAGGAGAATCAAAATATATTCTCTGTGTTTTACAGATTAATGAAAAAACAGCCATCAGGAAGGAGAAATTTAAAGTTTCACTGTATTCCTACCTAAGCTTAATGACATGACAATGTTCAATTAATTTGTGTGTTTGAGCAGAAATCACTAACATTAACATTTACTTTGCTAAAAGCCATAAAAAATTAATCAAACTAATCAATACCATCGTTATGCGTGGTCTACACAGTTCACTGGCTCATCTACCCAACATTAGGAAACTAAGGTTACACATCAGTTTTTTTTTGTTCATAGATAATGTCACATATTCTCTCTCCCGTTCACCTCTTCTTTAAATCTGTATTGCGAGCCCGTCTAGTGCCGAAGCAGCAGCATCAGTAGCTACATCAAGTTATAACATCAAGTTATGTTTTTAGCCGATGCTCTTATCCATCAAGATTAAAAATGGTACGCAAGCGTAGCGTGAGGACTAAGTGTTATTATCGGTATAACAGGGTTTGTGTCTGAACAGGGAAATCTGTCCTGTCTCCTGTGAGTTGGGAGACGTGTACGCTGTGATGTTTAAGACTTTAAATCAGTAACTGATGGGAAGCATATATGAATCAAAACCATTTTTTTGCACAAATCACTGTTTTTCATTACTGGTGTTCACTTTTCTTTTAATTCTCAGTGATCGCCCCAACTGAGGTGCGGCAGGAGACAGTAATTAAAACGGCAGCTGCACAAAAAGTCACATGACTGAAACATGAATTAGAACTCAAGTCACTTTTGTGTGTGTCACTGTAAGAGAGGAAACCCACACTAGCAGGATCTCATAAATGCATGAATATTCAGAGTTGCAAATTTCATGCATATGAACTAAAATTAATTGTTTGTGGTTACAAACTGCACGCATATGAAGTAAA